GGTACTACCTATGTTTTTAGTTCTAATACTATGTCGTTTGTTAACCTGGAAGTTATTGATGAATGTCAAATCCAAAGAATCATCTTCTCCATCCTCAGAATCTGGAAGCTTACGTTTCTGGTTCATCCTTTCTTCTGTACGCTTAGCTGCTTGTTGTTGTTCAACTTTCCACTCTTGTTTTTGTTGTTCCAATTCTGCTTCAGCAACAGCTACTTGCTTAGTTGCCCAATCCATTTCATTATTTTCCATTAGTCTTATAGCCCATTTTTCAATACACGATAACTGAGAAAAATAAGTGATTAATTTGTAAGCATATTAAACAAGGAAGATATTTATTAGGATCATGTCACTACTACCAGGAATATAATGTCAAACATCACAGGCTAGATATAACAGTTAGAAATTAATAATTTTTTTTTTATTAATACCTGTTTTTCTAATGCTTGAACTTCCATGTCTGCTTTACTTAGTTTAATATCATTTTGTTCTACAATAGGAATAGCTTCATCAAATTCAGCCAAATCTGCAACAGCTTCTTCTTTTGCAGTTTTAGCTGCCGCAACATCAGTCTCATCCTCTGCAGCTGCAAGAGCTGTTTCAAATACATTTATAGCATTTCTATCATTATCACTTGTACTATGAAAATTAGAAAATTCAGATTCCAACACATGAACACTTCGTTTTTCATCAGTAGTGTTGACTTTGAAAAGATCTTGAATTGTTGTCTTAAAAAAAAAATTATTGAATATTAATCTCAATGCAATGAACTCTGAGTTCATTTCTAACATCAAAATATCGATATCAATGAAAAACTGGCTAGAAAGCTTAAAGCCAGGTGGTTTATTTAGTAAGTAAATAAAAAAAAAAAGGACTAACTTAAACAAAAACAAGGTGCTATATACTTACAGACTTAAAAAAGGAAGCAGTAAAATTGCCACCTTCAATAGCTAAATCACCCAATAATCTCTTTTGGTTTGCTTTTTTAAGAATATTCTCTTCAATAGTTTTTTCACTAATTAATCTAAACAAAAACAGTCAATGTGAATTATAAATAGAAAAATAATAACATATATATAAAAATATYGCCCATTACCTATAAATGTGAACATCTCTAGTTTGACCAATACGATGACAGCGATCCTGCGCTTGAGCATCCATTGTAGGATTCCAATCACTATCATAAAATATCACAGTATCTGCTCCAGTAAGATTGATGCCTACACCACCAGAYCGTGTTGATAAAATAAAACAAAAATACCTTTTGTCTGCATTAAACCTTTCCATTAAAAGCTGTAATCAATGATATAAATTAGTAAAATAAAGGTAGYAATATTTTCGTTTAAATTACCTGTCTAGTTTCAACCTTTGTTGTTCCATCTAATCTTAAATATATATACCCATGAAAATTGAGGAATGCTTCGAGGATATCCAACATTTTAGTCATTTGAGTAAAAATAAGTACTCGATGATGTCCAGCTTTTAATTCTCGTAGTAAATAATCAAGTGACTGTAATTTACCACAATCRTATTGAATTAACCTTTGATCAGGAAATAAAACACTCATGGCTGAAATAATGGGATGCAAGGCATTTAAAGTTGGTTTTATGTCTTTTTCTAATAATGATGAATCATCATTTTGAAGAAATTGAAATTCAGTTTTTGGAGTTCTTCCTTGTACAGCTGGCACATAAACAATAAATTGTTCAAAAGAATCATGTAATTCTTTCATTCTGCTATCTAGTGTTTTAACTGAATCTGACAAAGCAACTGCAGTCATGTAAGACATACGCTGTATGTGGGCAGAATACTGAGCAACAACAGATAAAACATTATTTGAACCGAGCCAAAGCCAAGGATTCCTTTCAACCGAATCTGAACAACCAACATGACCCGACGATGCATCAAATCTTATAAAGTCTCTTAAATCTTGACCATAAACAACATTCGTAGCACCATCTATTCTTTTGTTATTTATAAATGATAAATTATCGATTTTAATTTTTCTCCTTAAAATTCGTTTTTCTTCTAAATTTGGCTGAAATTATCAATGATAATAAAAATTAGTTTATTAAAATAAGTTTAAAATAGTAAAACATACATCATKAAAAAGAATATCATCAGTCCGCTCTTTAGTTGATTCTATTATAGGTGTAGATTTAGATACTGATGAATTTTTGGAACATTTTGAGATGTTTAAAACGTCATTTTTATTATTTACATTAACTATGCCTTCGCTTACAACATTAAAACCTTTATGAGTATTTGAATTGCCTAAAACAATGAATAAACAATTATAACATAATTACATCTCTGTATACATTGGCCACAAATAAAGCTAATTTGATTGCATAAGTAAATTACAAGATTCAAACAA